AGCTCGACTCACTGTGTTCCCGTTTCCTGTTGTCTTCATGCTAAGCTAACTGGTGGCTGGCTGTAGCTTCATATTTATCTTACAGACCAGAGAGTTCTATCGATCTTCTCAACTCTCAGCAGGACAGTGAATAATTTGTCCCCAAAACTATTTTGTTTTTAAGGTTGTTTGTTTTGCTTGGCTCTATTACCAACATCATTCAACCCATTCCCTGCTGGATAAGAAACAAGAACACAGACCATTATAATCTTTAGCAGACTGCCTGCTACGTTGACTTTGCCCCACAGTGCATCGTTCACAAACCCGAAACATCACCAGATGTAACGAGTCATTTTGGTGGAAGCAGGCCAGCGCGATGGCTCTAATGCCTGTGTTTGAAGAAACATAACAGACGCACACACGATCAATTATGGTGTGCCTATCAGTCAAATTCATCCATATCTTTGTTTATTGTGCGTTATGTTTTCACTCCTGGGAGTAGGGAGGTAGAGAGAAGTCCTGTAACCATAACTGTATGTAACATGATTAAAGAGGAGCTGGATCATTTACATGATATTATCATGTAAATAATGTATTATTAACATTATATCAATATTACATTTTTAAACATTACAGTTATCGCCAATAACGTTATGTTATGTTAATGTTAAAGTTAAAGCCTGCACCTAATTAGCTTAGCTTAGCATTAAGCCTGGCAATAGAGGGAAACTGGCTCTGTCCGAAGCCGAGCTCTAAGGCTCATTGAAACGTTATATCTTGTGTTTTTAACCTGTGCAAACAAAAAAAGTGTGAAAACAACACATCTTGGTTTTAAAAAAAGGCTCAAGGAGCATCCAACTATTCCTTAAACATTGTGACAGTAATGAAGCATTAAAGCCGATATCTATACCTTTGCGCTAGGCAGCGTTTCTCTGCATCGTGACTCATTTTACGTATCCGATGGATCCTGGCTCAATTCACACGGACACACAAACTGGTGCCCCACTGAGTCACAGTCTCAGCATGTATATTTTATGGTAACTCTAGCACGTGTGAGTGCAGACAGGCATATGGGCTTGATTGTGTCAACTGTGTAAAGTGGTGTGAACGTGCACATGGAGTGTGTCATGAAGAAATGTTTGCTAAGCAACGTGTGTGTGTGTGTGTGTGTGTGTGTGTGTGTGTGTGTTTGGTATATCATGGAGACAGTTGCCAAGCGGTTCGCATGCTGAACAACAATAGCCGTTTTCAACTAGCTCAAGCCTGTTTTGACTCTTCGGCGATTGCTGTGGTCTTCATCTGCAGTCACTTCTCCGCCTCTTCTTTCTGAGTCGACTTTGTTCTTAATGGGGGGGGCTTTCTTTCCTGCACCCTTGGCAACCCGTACCTGATTATTTCGCCTGCCGAAGTTAGATGGACAGAATTTGAATCGTAAATAATAAAGATATTGATTGAAACACTCCAGGTTTAGATAAAGAGGCGTTGGATGGATGATGAATCTGACACAGGGAGCGGGCATTTCTCGTTGACTGCCTGGGATATTGTCTGAACGAAGGGAGGTCTATTTCAAAGTCTTCCTATTTTGTTTTTATGTGGTCCGCACCTCGAAGGCTCAACCTCCCCTTCCCTACACACAGCTCTCCGTGGAGCTTTCTTTTCATCATCTTGACAGAAACTTGGCATGAATTGATTTTTCTTCACTTGCTCATGCACAAAGTAATTTTGGTGATTCTTTTCTCAAGAAACTTTGAGAGAGGAAAGCAGCAAGTGTGCACTTATCAAAGATAAGTGAGTGCTTGCAGGAAGACGAGTACACAATGATGGAAGAAATGCACAAGTAAACTTTTGAGGGTGAGCATGAGTGGGTACTTTGGGAGGATGAGTATACCAGCATACAAGAGGACAGTAACTGTTCTATAGGAAGACCTTTATTGGCCATATCATACAAACAAGTGCACTCTTGTGAGGAAATGTGCCTGTGATTATGTGAAAAGAGAGCAGAGAATTTGCATTTCTATGCAATTGACTCTGCATCCTGGATTTTTTCCCCTGGTGTAATTTTCCACAGTAAGACTCTCACCCTTAAGTTAACCCGACTGTCATGCACAGATAAAGGAAATCCCTGTAACACATGATTACATTTAGGACCTGCTAAATATATGTGGCAAGGTAATTGATTTCAACTTCACGGTTACACTTCTGTGCCAATACATGCATGAATTTGTTTTAATCAAGATTTTGACTTGAAAGACTTGGCAACAAGTTCTTTGACTTGATCGTAGACGGAGAGAAATTTGACTTTAAATGAGCATTACCCAACCGTTCCGGGTATATAGATTTGAAAAAGATTCAGCTTATTTCAATTTGAAATCTCATCGTGTTCATCTGTCACTTTAACTTGCAACCTAGACTGTTTACGGTTTCATCCCATTTCATTTTGATTGTTTGAGGGGGGACGCAACCCGACAGGTAGAGAGTGGGAGGCAGATGAGAAGAGACAGAGGAGGGAAGAAACAGACGGGAGAGAACAAGACATGGATGCCCCGTAGAGAACAAATGGCTGGTTAGTAATAAATGAGGGGCATCAGCTTACACTGAAGGATAAAAAGGCAGTCAAGCAGGGGATACACATCTGTCATCTGCTGTTCACACACACACACACGCACACACACACACACGCACACACACACAGGCCAGCTGGTAGAGTGTAATGTAAATAGTGACTATTGTTCCATGGCTCATGCATCTATCTGGATTACTAAACTGAGGTGCACCCATAGAATATAGCTTCAAAAGGGTGAAAAGAGGTAAAATTCTCGCTCACCGCCACAGAGACCTTGGATGGTGGAGGAAGGCACAAGCAATCGGCCCGTGTACAGTATGTGTCTGGAAAGCTAATGAGGGTTCACATTGGTGGGCGCACCTGAACAGAGAGGTGGAAATGAAGGTACAGCATGAAGCTCAAGCACATTAAGCTTGAAAAAGAAGCAGCTGGCGCAACCCTGTGTCTTTAAAACTAGTGTTCATACACAACTAATATGTTTCTTGCAGAAATTTATGCTGGAATGTATCTGCAAAATGTTCACAGGCAAATAAAGCATGATTAGCACATGTACAGTTATGTTTAGACAACTTAAATATAACATGCTTCTTTGTGTTCTCTCTGAGAGGTGGATGAGCACAGCAACACCACTTTCATAACTGGGCTCTAAGCCTGGCTCACTCCAAAGTTCAAAGATCCACCCAGCAGCAGCTCTGAGTCTGACTAATTACCACAATATGTTAATTTGTACAAAAACAGTAATTTAAAAATGTCAATTTGTGGTTTTCGAGGGAGTTACATGGGTTAACTATTTCTTGACAAACAGCAGTTCATCCATCAGCTCAGCACTTGTGTGCAGCTCGTTGACTGCCAACCTCGCTGTGTCAACAAAACTCCAGGAGGTCACCGTGCCCGGCTAATATTGACCAAGGATCACATATTGTTGTTGTTTCTAACATTGGGTTGACCTTTTCATCGCACCCTGAAAAATAGAGTGGTTAAATGTATTTTCCAAAAATGCTGAACGATTCTTTGGATATTTACCCAAAACCACAATCCACAACATTTATTATTCTAAACCCATCAACATGTGGGAGACCGAACACAAACCTCAGTCTTTGGTGTCACAGTTCAGCGATTTGAACACCCAACCATCCACTCAGACATCTTCACTAGCAGAAATTAAGTTTTATCCTATATATTTTTCGCAAAGCAATTGAGAAGATCATCAAAGTATTTTGTATTAACTGCAGTGCATAACAAGTTAAGAGGAAAATCGGGGGTTGTTCTAGTTTTTAAGGATAAAAAAGTGGGATTTAATAAAGTTGACAATAAAGATAATGGAGTATAAAAGTGTCGGTACACTTTGAACTTCTTTACTTTTCATTCTGCCAGAAAAAAATAATCATCTCAGAATGTTACCTCGAGCAAATTCATAACAATGTTTTCATTGTGTTTAATCACCTGAAACTAAGAATTGTGTTTTCGTTATTGTAGCTTGAGCCCTTTCATATCTATGGAGTGGTCGCTGTCCCATATTGCATCGCCATGTCTCTACAGTAGCCCAAAACAAGACAAGCCAAACAATGACTCAAGAGGGGGCCTTTTGCATTTTTACGTTACCCGAAAGGTTCTCTACATACTTGGAAAGGAAGGGGCTGGTTGGTTGCAATCTGCAACCTCACCTCTAGATGCTTCCTTAAAGTCAGCACGCCTTTTCGCTAAGAAAAACCTTTGCCAAGACAAATTGGACAGTTTAATCCATATTTGGGGACACTCAATATAGTCTCCCATATCAAGAAACAAGATATATTACCAATGAATCCTGAGATAAGCTATGCTTTCATGCAGCTGTGATGTTTAATTGTGGAGGGGAAGAGAGAAAGGGAGACAGAGAGAGAGCGAGAAAGTGAAAGTGTGATCATTGTTCCATGAAGTCTATTTTCTAGGTGAGCAGATATCCGTCTTCCAGCCTCCCTGTGGGATTTTTTCCCCATCCGTCCTCAAGAGCTGAACAATAATGTTACCCTGTCTTGTGAATGTAGGTGTTCTTGTATTTTTGGAATCCCTGCGAGGACATGGGGATAAAGGAGAATCCTTGAATGTTAGTGCTGCTTTTCCCCCTCTGAATGGGACCATTTAAAGCCTTCAGCCTGGGTTAGTAGTAATACAGTGAGGGCGTGTGGTGGCTGTGAATGGAGGTGAAAAAGCTTATCGAGACAAGCAAATCATTTGTATACTGCACATGCAAACACGCACACCTCTCGGCACATTATTTATTTGCCTGTGCTTTATTTCGCCCATGTTTTTTCAAAACTTCACACCCACTTACTGCATTTCAAATTCGACTCTCCTCTTTTTTTTTCTTGCTTTGCCCTGAAGGTTAATTCTTATCTTTCATGATTTTCCTCTTCTGCTTTCCCCTGCTTGCCTTCCTCCTCCTCTTCTCTCCTTTGTGGTGGGATGTCTCAAACTGCAGACTGGCAATATGAGGGTAAGAACTATCTCCTCTTTCTTCATCTGTTAACTGTGTGTTCAGTCACCGTTCTGGCTTATTAACCCCTGCTAACCCTGCGGAGATGTTATAGGGGGGGGGGGGGTTACGTTGCTCTTTCCTGGTGGGCATTAGTCTCCCCTCACTGTCACGTCTTGTCTCCTTTATCCCTTTTTCTACCACATTCACTCCAATTATATGATTACTTTGCTCCTTTCCTCATCAACCCATTTCCTCTCTGGAGAGACGAATGCTATAGATTATATCTACAGTACCAGGCTCATCATGTATTCATTATGTCTAAATATGTCTTGCTGTAGGATATTTTAGTAATAGTTTGTCTTCATTTACCTTTTTGTATTTGTCTCCATCTCTAAAACAAGTGTCTCCCTGTCATCAACATTTTTATCCCTCCCCTCTGCTAACCCCTTACACCTCAATCCTTTTCTCCACTCCTCACTCCTTTCAGGAGTTGCTGTTGCCACTCTTAACCACACTCGCTCTGATATAAGCACTGTGCTGTGCAGAGTCCAATTCCATTTCAAAGAGAGACACTCTGACAGAGTGATTGCTGTAGCCACTTCTTTTTAAAGGAGAAAACTTACAAAACCAGTTTAAAACATTCATCAAGCAAAATTATCCATATATGCTTCACGGTTGAGTTTCACACTTCAAGCTTTTCTATAATGGATTTAAAGACCCTTACAAGGTAGCAATGTTAACTCTAAATGTTGTATTTTCTTTTCATCCCCCCAGAATGTAAACTGTCCCGGTCGGGTCCTCCGGCTACCATCGTTGCGATAGATGAAGAAAGCCCAAACGGTAAAGTATTCAGCTGTTTTACATCCTTTAACTCTAAATGTGACAAGGGAACACTTTTGTTAGAATTTAAGACAATCATCACTGTTTACCGTAACTTAAACAAACACTGTTAGATGATTTTGACCTTTTCAGAAGGTGCTGATTGGCATGGCATGTAACCTGCACTCATTAATATTCATTAGGTGTGTGCCAACTGTGTGGTGGTTGGATCCCTGTCCCAGGAGATAAGACACTAGGTCATTCAATTTGAGCTAAATCACTGTGTATGAGCACGAGATATGAGCGGCTTTCTATGTGTGCACGCCTGTGTTACATAATCTTTAATGTGAAGCCAGCAGCCAGTTAGCTTAGTTTAGCTTAGCCTAAAGACTGGAAACGGGGGGAAAGAACTAGCCTGGCTCTTTCCAAAGATTACCAAATTTGCCTACCAGCGCCTCTAATACTTATTAACATGTTCTCTATCTCTTGTGCGTAATCCGTACCTGGAGTCTCTACTGGTTGCTTGGTAGGAAGTCACTCCACACAACCAAGAAATAGTCCCATAGAACAATACCACGTAAATCCATAGATTCTTTTTTTTACCTCATTGTTTCAACAGATTAAACAAACAAGATAAGTTAGTTAGCAACTGAATCCTTGACTTAAAAAACAAAACATAAACGCTACTATCTGATGCTGGGCAGTTGTTTGAGTAGGACTCCTAATTTGAATATTTGAGACAAATAGCTATTTTCTCTTCTCTTCTCTTCTTCCCTGCAACCTAAACAAAAAAAGACACCTTTTATGTGAATACCAAAGGACATATATTCAGTGTATTTTTGTCTCCAGAGTTAGCTCAAACTGTTTAAGACTTTAAGTAATTAGTGTCTCCCGGTTTGATGGATCTGCCATTTCGAGTGTGTAGAATATGAACAAACACAGAGCCTACTAACTGTAGGAGAGTGTCTGAGTGCTGACTTGTTTGGTCGTATATGAACATTTTTGTGAAGTTCAGAGAAGGTTAATCGTGGAAGGGTCATAATTTTCAGTAATTGACGAGTTTAATCGTTGCTTTAGTCTCAAGTAAATTAAGGCCTTGAGGAAAGTCATTAAATCTTACACTGAGGTGAAATGTACACAGACAAGTTGGTCCGTGGGATTAAATCACCCTCTTATCTTCAGCCCATAGAATAATCTCCAGCAACAGAAACCTGTCATAATGTTTGCCATGTCTGCATTTCAACAAAGTTTAAAATTGTGAGACCTGACCGCTGTAATCCTAACTGACATTAGAGGAGATTAGTAAAGCAACACCAGCCTTCCATCTACCCAGCTGGCATGTCTGTATCTGTTAATGTCTTAATGCATCCTATTAAGCTATCCATCCTCTTATTTCCCCTGCTTGCCATGTTTACTGGGTATGCACATCAGCCTGGCACTCTAAGTTACGCGTAGACTTGCCACCCATGTTGGCCGCCATGACGGTATTGTGTTATACACAGTACTTTCAATTGGAGTGAATGGGACAAGGACATACTTTCTTTTCAGAGTTTTTCTGTCAAATGAAACCACCTGTATATACAGTATATGTATAAAATGCAATATGTATTATCTTTTATGCAATTTTGCATTGTATGTTTAGCATCACAGGTGGGGGAGACACACAAGTAAAGTAAAAAAAAGTAAAGAACAACATCTTATAGGAGTAGTGAATGCTATTTCTGGCATTTAAAATATTTATAGAAATCTAGAAAATAATACATTATCATTGTTATTTGGGCTTAACAAATATATGGTACTGTAGTCTAATAGAAAATAGAACTCCTGTAATTGTTTAATACACTAACCAGGTACACTCTTTGCTTATACAGTATGTTCAGCTTACTGCTGTGAACACACAAGACTATACCCGGAGGAGCTTATCGACATTTTCGCCTCCTCTTTTCACACATTTGTATTTTGGCAGCCATACCGTAAGGAGATATTTGTCAGGGAAATGTAAGTAAATAAATCAAATTGTGACAGTGTGGTGGGGGGGGGGGCAAAACACACCTAGTGGAATTCATGCCCTTGCATTGACGCAGTCCTTCAGCCGCAAAATAGTTTTCTAAGCTTTGTTTCAATTCAAGACATAATGGGAGTTCAGCCTTGCAGACTGGTTGAGGAAGCTGTAATGCTCTTCTTGCCTGATGTGTGACAAAAACACACTTTTCAAAAGATTTGCTTATTCCTATACATTTGGTTGTAAAATGTCGTTATCTATTTAATTGAGTGTTTTGCAGTGAAATGATGACAAAACCCCCGGCAGTTACAATGTGTGCTCACATATGACTGTACATGTGTGCATATACACGCATGTGTGTGTGTGTGTGTGTGTGTGTGTGTTTGTCTCGGCATGTTATCGCCTAACAACAATGTGTACTTTGTGTTGTTTGTCTCTCTTAGTGGTAATCTTCCTAACAGGGCTGTCGAAAAATATGTTCGCATTGAAATGCTTTGTATGCGTAATGCTGTGTGTTGCTCCGTGGCTGTGCAAAAGTGTTACGATTTAATAGAGAATCTCGCTTTAGGGTGATTATCTTTGGTTGGATTGTGCAAGAAAGAGAGAGAGAGAGAGAGACTCGAGGAAAGAAAAGAGTCGGATGGACGGAGAGTAACAAGTTACAAGTTAGGGTTTTCTTTTTTCCTCAGGGAAGACAATATTGAAATTAAGGCTTTGATTCTAATAATATAAAGTAAAAGGGTGATTATAAGTGGATCGATGTGGGAATAGGAGTGGGGCAGATACACATACGTACATGCACAGAAGCACACTCATTTAGCAAAAAGACATCAGTATCTCCACAGGGGTCTTCACAATATACACAATAACGTATTCCATGTATCATTTAGCAGATAATACAGGCGACATCAGCATACAAAATTGCATGTAATAGTGAACAATCATCTTCGCTTACTGCTCTAACATTATTAGTGTACTGCTGTAAATATACTCAGCTTTGCTTATCTAGCTTGACCACTGATAATGGGGTCCTTAGAATCTTTCTTTTTATTCTGCACATAGATAGAAAAGGATCCCAGCTGCTTTTTCCAGCAGCATGATATATGTGCTAAGGGGGCTGTCCACTGAAGTTGTTGCACAATCTGCATTTCACTCCATGTTATGGTTAAGGTCACTGTTAACAATATATTTGAAACACTTCCGATTTATCATCGTATTTTAATGACGTGTGCATAAATAAACATAAAATCATGAAGCTGCCATGAAGACTGAATTATGAGTGTAAAAAAGCAGCAATAAAATGGTACAAATGTGTGCGCTCTTTCTGGTAGACACACAGAAGGCTTTACTACGGCTGAAGTAGCAGGTGGCTGTGGCAATTACTTTTCAGTCCATGACTCGTACCTGTCGCCACATTCAGTTAAGCTAATGTCCTGTAAAAATTCTATTAATGTGCCGCCACAATGCTCATTTTCTCGCTATTTCCTCCTAATATTCTCTTTACTGTTTCTCCCTCTCAGCCTCTCATTCAACCCAATCTTTCTCGCCTCACTTTCCCGTGCTATCTTTCTCACTCCTCTTGCTCTCTAATTGCTCTTTGTGCTGCTTTTTCGCGGACAGTTCCTCTTTGCTCTCCGTGTTGCTGCGCACACACACTCCCTGCTTCACGCCGTTGGGCCTGTATGCCGTAACACATGGGTCAATTTAATATGGTGCTGCTGAGTGCAGTATTCAGTCACATATCCCATGAAGTGAGGTCACTGAGAAGAGAGCCCATTTCTATGATAAGGTCTATGGAATTAAATTAGTTACACAAGGTGTTGGTACTATCTGTCTCTGTCTTCCTTGCCTGGACTTGTGTTTTTGTTTTTGTTTTTTGCTCATTTTGCAAGACAGAAGCAGGAAAACCAGAGGAGAAATAGCTAAAATATGGCAAGGAATTAAAGTCCTCTAATGAATTCAATTTTCTATCCAATTTCTCAAATAAATAAACCAATTTCATTATATTTCTCTGTTTATTTAACATCAGCGAATCACAGCAAGGCATTTGACATGGTTTCCATGGTAGCATAGAAGGCCGTGACCCAAATTTATGTCTGGCAGATCAGATATGAGATCGCTTAGTGCGTGTGTGTGTGTTTATGTAGTTGTACGCGTGCGGATGTGTGTGTGTGTGTGTGTGTGCGTGTGCAAAGCGTCCGTTAAAGGGCAGACGCTGAGTGAAATTCTTTCCAATTTTTTTGCTCTTTCTCCACTTAATCTAATGTTTAATGTACGATAACAAACACAGACATGACAGCATCCAAAATTGTATCTTATGCTGAAAACCTGTAATGTCTAATAATGTGCTGAGGAATGGTTTTGTGCTCACACACACACTAACATTTTTTTTTTATAATTTCTTCTTTATTAATAATGCAGCGTGTCTGGGCTGCTAATGGGTCTCTTTAACCCGTTGGAGCTGTACAGAGTCAAGTGGTTAAACTGCCTCACTTCTTCCTCACACATTTTTTTGCAGCTATTCTGTTGTAATATTTTCCATCTAAATTTACAAAATGATACTGGACAACCAAGCATTAGTTCATGAAAGTGATTGAACACGAGAATGAACGTGTGAAAGAAGAACAGGAATACTTCAAAGTGAAATCCAGCAAATAAGTTTGGCAGCAGGGCTCAGTTTTCATTGACTCTGTCAATCACCGATGAATTGAGGATGATTCAATTTAACGCAGATGTCTGTCTGATTCTCCATCTGCCGTTTCCTTCTTCTTGCGAAGCTTAGCTTCTCTGACCCGTTGCTCTTCTCTGCTCCACCGTCTCCTGGCTTTGCGTTGATCGAGAGATAATATGCAGCAGACAGTTTCCATTCAAATCATGTTTAGTCGCCCTGTTTTTTCGACTCTCTCTTTCTGTGTCTTTCAATATTCCTATCGTTCCCAAATCGCTTCATTGCCTCTGTTATGTTTAATGAATTGAGTTTTTGTCCGTCTGTACTATCTGTCTCATCAAAATGTTTACTTTTTATAATGTCTTTCTGTGAAATGTTCATTTCATTTTGTGTTCCAGTTGGTATTACAGCTATTGGTATGGAGAAGGCAAACAGAGTATCGAGTCAGCCTTAATTTAATTTTAGTTCAACATGCTTTTTACTCTGTCTCTTTCTCTCTTTGTGTGTGTCTCTGTCTCTTCCCTCTTGACCTTGGCTACAACCTATGTCATTTCCAGGCTTATACTGTAATTAATTCAGAAAATGAAGAAAAGCAGAGGGTTGTCTTTGGGCTGCCTCCTTTTTTTTTCACAAATGAAATTAGATTCAAACCTATCTCCCTGCAAACATTATTTGAATCTATGTCCAGGAACTCTGGACTTTGCGTGTCTCTCTGTAGCTGACGGGTTAATGCAAGTGTTTTTATTGTATCCCCAGGAACGTTATTGGTGGACAACATGCAGATAAATGGCGTGGCTGAGGGTCCGGGGCGTACCATCTCTCTGTCGCTAAGGGATAACCACGACTACTGGGTGATCCTTGACCCTTCCAAACAAGCACTTTACCTCAACAGCACCGGACGTGTTCTGGATAGAGATGTAAGGCGGCTGAACTACCTTTTTTCTTTTGTTCTGCCTTATGAAAAGTTTTTGGTCCCATTCAATTTTTATTTAAAAGTGTCTTAACTTGCAGAAACTATGTTGCTCCTCATGGTTTGGCTCCTAATTGTCAGATCGATTGAAATCTTAATAAATCTGTTGTGTCACACAATCTCACAGGTACTACCACTTTTTCAGATAGCACCTCAAAATAAGAGCAAATCTGTTGTTTCAACAGATGAAGACAGCTGCTTGTGTCTTTGTTTAGTTCAGTTTTTCTTTTTACACTCGATAAATGTGCCAGAAGCTAATTTTCACCTATTCTAACTTTCGCTATTTTTGTTTCGCTCCGTAAAGTAATCCAGCAGATGTTTTTTTAAAGTCTGATTTAGCACAAAAAGTTGAATACAAGAGTCCGGCTTTCTTCTGTGCAATTGTTTTATTTATTTTTGTTTTATTTTCTGGTTAATTATTTATTGCTGTTGTACAATTGTATTTTATTTATCCCTCTGTTTTTCTCTTTTCCAGCCCCCCTCGTATATTCAGTCCATTGTGGTTCAGGTTCAGTGCACCAACGAGCTGGTAGGCACGGTGATTTTACATGAAGTCCGCATCGTTGTTCGAGACCGCAACGACAATGCACCGCATTTCCAACAGCCAAGATACTACGTCGGCATCAGTGAGGTAAAACACACACACACACACACACACACACACACACACACACACACACCTATACACAGTGAAAGTTTCACATATATAAACATACACATTCCCACCTCTCACAGAGATGTAGTGAAGTAAAAAAAAAACAACATAATACCAAAAGTGGTGGAAATACTTTACTGTCTTTCATTTAAATCAAGAGCTATTTATTGCACTTCTAGTGCAGTGCTGCTGTCTATCAGGATGCCAGGTACAGGACTCATGGGTCTGAGACTAGAGACCAAAGGAAGGGTGGGGGGGGCGGGGGGGGGTACAGTGGTACTTAGTACAGTGCACAGCATGAGCAGTGAACTGTACCAAGCTTTTCCCATGCTGCTCTGGGGGTCATGTGTAGCGCTTACAATGCCACTTTAAGAGGCTGCATTGACCTTCACTCTGACAATGTAGCCTGGTGTGTGTACACACTGCAATGTATTTTGAATATAATCCTCCCCTAAATAGTCTTGTACATTGCATTTTGCTGTCACACTAATGTTGAAGGGCCGTACCGTAAGCAGGGGAAAAAGCAGAGTCTTTGGGCAGTCTAAGAAAGGATCTAAATCTGTTATCCTGAGGCTTCCAGAATAGTCTTTAAGATGCCAATACCACAGTTAGTGTGTTATCTAGAGTCTGGGGGAGCAGAATTTAGCAAGAAGAGGTACAGACTGAAAACTGGACAAGGATACATGTAGCCTGCTGCCAGTGTGGACCTCGGCAGACCCAGTAGAATATCTCATTATACAGTATTCCACAGCCTGTCCAACTCAATCTGTCTTCTCAACCTCTTTTTCTCTCTCTTGGCCTCTCTTCTCTGTTTTTGCAGCTCCCGACACTCCCTCACTTCCATGCCCCCTCACCACTCCCAGCTCTTCATTATGTCACCTTTCCTCAACCTACCCACCTTTCCTCTGCCACACTCTATATATTTCTGGTTGTCTCTCCTCCTCCTCCTCCTCCACCCCACCACCTCTCACAGCACTCCAGTTTCTCATTACTCTTACGAAAATAATTCCCTCCGTTCACTTCAACGACCGCCATAAAATTTAGGAGATGCGTCGTAAAAAAACTCTAAAATATGATTCCTGTGCCCGCCCAAGGTAAATGTGGTCAGTTTGGTGGTAATAATTTAAAAAAATGAATTCATTTATTCTGATGTGGGCAATAATTAAGATTTGAGTGCAGGTCTGTTCATTAGTTCGACAGCTACGTCTAATTCACTTTACTTTGCCCCCAGATCTCCAACCACCTAATGCGGTGAATTTAATATTGAGAGAGTGAATCAGGAGTTACATCCAGCTTTATCATCGTGCCTGCTTCTACTTGTCTAACAGTTGTTGAGTGCAAGAGAGTGAGGAAAGTGACAGATTAAGACACACAGAGAGGCAAAATGGTTATTTTTAAAAACGTCTAGGACGTGAAAGTTTTCGTGTACAAGGGGATCCTTGTGGCTGATTGCATGAGTTGGCGCTGATGTCGGAGTCTGGAGTTGTTTCATTACAGCCGTATCCGCAAGTGGCAAAGTGACAGCATGAGACCTTCTGAAGACCATTGTTGGATCTGTGGGAGGCAGAGATAACCCTGTTGAGGGAAATTATGTAACAAATCATTGGTGCAGCAGCTTAATTCAACTTAATCTCAAATGTTTCTTGTGCTGTCTGGAGATTAGACTTCTGTTTTGACACATAATCGCAGATCCTATGGCGCATGGCTAAAAAAAAATACAGCATGTCAATTTAAGGCTGGCAAAGTTCTTCCTTTCATGTGCTGTGGCAAGTGTTCAACTTTTAGGTTAAGCATTTCTTTTAGAAGACCAATCTGGCTTTTATTAAGAGTTTGTATCTATGTTTTAGGCTACTCATCATCACATCATGCACAGTAGGTATACAGTACACTGCTAACTACTTGCCAAAGGTCATCATAGTTGTTTAGATTTCTGAATATGGTGTTTTTGCCATCGCAAAGAAAACCAAAAACATGAAAGAATATATATAAAACATAAACGTATTTTTCATCTCCACATTTTGTTCATTTTAACTTGAATGAACACGGGTTAGCTACAGTTACCATCATGTCGTACACAGCAGCTGTCTGCAGCTAGGAGTTGGCTTAAAAGAGCAACCCCGACATCTTTGACATCATTAGATAACTGAGCATTATGTTCTGCTGCTGTGTTGCCATCCAATGTGTGCCGTCTCAATCACAGGGTTTCTCCAGCTGTTGAAATATCATGTGTTGCAGGATCGTATGCAAAATAGCTAATGTTGCAGCAACTGGCTCAAACATCTGTTAGCTAAACAGCTACCACTGCATATACAGTGTATTAGCATGATGCTAGCTCTCTGTAGCTAGTGGTTAGCTACTGAAAGAAACTATTCAGCATGAGAACGTCTTCATGTTTTAACTTAAAATGAACATTGATGTGTAACAACCAGTTGATGAAATGAAAAATGCAAATTTAATTGCATCTTTGCGTTCAAAAAAGAGTTATTCAGCGGCCACCACAGTGCTTTCTGCTCAGCTCCTCAGTATAGTCTCAGTGTTTTGGCAACTGTTTGGGTGGAGTAAGTTCATTTAGGTGAAGAATGTCTTTGGACTAGAGTCAGATTTGGCTCAAACACTTTGTGGCATATTATTTAATTTGTTAATTTCATATTGTAAAATAAGGTATAATAAGCTACAGGGGTGCCTACACCTTTTTGGTCTTTGCTGTAATCGTTTTTGAAATTGACTCATTATTTTATAACAGTGAGTATTTGGGTCCAACCTGTTTCTGTTTTTATTATTATTTTATATATTTTATATCGACAAAAAAATGAAGATAAAGACACCCACACTGTCTGTCTAGTGAGACAAGCACTCTTAACGTACCATGCGTGATTTTCTTTCACCCTTTTATCTAAAAACTTCAATTGGTTGGGGCAATGAGGTGTAGCAGACATTCACAGTAGTGACGGAGATAAAGACTGAGGCACCGACTGCAGACAGACAGAAAGTTAGACAAGCCGTGCTGCCTGTGTTTCATTTTATTTCCACAGCAAATGAAAGCACACAAACATTTACAAGCTGATCTTCCTTCTCAAGCCCCATTTGAGCACAATAAACAAGCTGCGAGTCATTTTCTGTTTGTTTTGTAGAGACAGTGGGGTATCAAGATCCCTTATGGCCAGACGCATGTGAAGAGTTTTTTTTATGTGCCCCTCCCTTATCTCTGCCACATGCAGGCAGTAGATGTCAGGAAGACGAGACACAACAGTACAGGAAAGAAGCTGTTTGATGTCAGTGGTACAGAGTATGAAAGGGTTTAAGTGTTTGACATCATGTAGTGTGAGCTTGTAGGAAAAAGATGCTGATATTCTCCCTCGCTGTGTTGTGTTTTCAGCTGACGCCAGTGGGAACCACTATCTTCTCTGGTTTCTGGGGGAACAATGGGGCAAAAGACATAGATGACGGTCCCAATGGACAGATAGAGTACACCATCCAGTACAACCCGAAAGACCCGGTAGGTTATCCATCTGCCCGCTGAACTCTTCAAAGCTTGAAGTGGCCAGATTCTAAACTCCTTATTCAGGCTATTGGTTAAACTATTGCTATGGTAATAATAATGATAATAATAATTTGGGGTCTCAAAGGAATACTTAACCCCCAAAATGATCATTCTATATCAATTACTCACGCAAACTCTCACACGACACGAGCAGTATACTTGTACCATTTAAACACTTTCGCATAAACAGTCTCACGCTTGCACAGGCAAGCTTCCTGTCTAGCTACAGTGTGTTCAGTAAGGTTTTAGTTTGGGAAGTAATAAGCATACAACTGGATGCATGAGTTGTGTGGTGTGAGAGTTTGTAAACCAATAACGTAAACGAAAGCAAAAAAAGAGCAAAAATGAACCAATATTTTACAAAGAGGGATGCATATTTACATGGTTATTTATTTTATTGTTTAAAATTGACATCATAGCCAGATTTGGGCCCAATACCTCTTCTCTGTTCTTTGTGTCTAATAGATAATAGGTTGATAACCAACCCATTTCTTGAAAACGTTGACCACTTACTGGATGTTTTCAGCCATGAGCTTCAGTTTCTTAAGTTTCATTAGCCAAATTCTATTGTACAGTAAACCACCTTTCCCTATCTCAGAGTTTAGTTGTTGGTTTAGTAATAAACTACATCAGGAACAGATTGACTAGTTATTGTTCAAAGATTAGTTCATTATTGCATCACGCAGCATATCTAACATATCTTTTAATCCGTTAAATTTTTTGCCAAAGAATCTATATTGGTATGATAATATGGGAGTTCCAAAGTGTTCAATATCAGATAAATAAATAAATATGAAATAAATAATCACACTAAGAAATATATTGAAACTAAACTCATAACCAAATTTATATTTCCCATTATATGCCCAATCTGCTTTTTTCATAATGCCATTTTCCTCAATAACACACAATGTCATGCCACTGTTATTTATTTCATAACTGTTGTATCATCAACTGTTGACTCCGTAGGGACTCACTATGCTTGTAATTTATGTGTGTGTTTTTCAGACAACCAACAGAACGTTTGACATCCCTCTGACACTATTTGGCTCTGTAGTTCTCAAAGAAAGACTCAACTATGAGGAGATAACGCGGTACCTGGTCATCATACAGGCAAATGTAAGTCTTTTTTATACATTGTTTTATATATTTGCCTCCACTTCTTTGTGCATATATCAAGGAAGCAAGCAAAGGGAAACAGCGAGCTAACATGGTTCTGTAGGAACGTTCCTGATGACTACATTTCAAATGGTAGTTGAAACTTAGACTAGTCTAAAAGTAAGAAAACACTCCAAGAATAGTCAAAATTGATCACACAGGGTTTATGTGCTACAGCTAGCTGTTCCACTAATTCCAGTTCTTATGCTAAGCTAAGGTCCTGGCTATAACTTCACATGTAACACACATCTATGAGAGTCGTATCAACCTTCTTATGTAATTCTCAGCAAGAAAGGGAGTTTGTGTATTTCATGTCTAAGTCCGTAAAAATGACAGAAAATATTAAAGCCTGCATTGTGGGCAGAGTTTCAATAAATACAGAATAAAAAATACTGTTACAGTAGCTGTGGAGGATGTTATTGTATCAATCGTTGCTTCACGAAAACACGAGTGTTACAAAAGAGTGAGCGAGGCAACATGTTTTAAAGACATTATTTCCTGGCGCAGACCTCTGTTTCTTCTCTTTGCGTTCTAATGATTGACACAAAGGAGAACACGGTGTAATGCAGCGGTATAGAAACACTCAATCCAGGTGTAATGGTAAATAACATAACCAAGGTTTTATGCTTCTGAGCTTGTTTTTGCCAATTTTAAAGTAACTGGAAAACAAAAAGAGTTTGATGGCAGAACACAAAGTTGCCTTACAAAAAGACACCACCACATATAAGGGGAAGTAGATGAGGATCTAGATTATTTGCACAAACTTGAAATGGCAAATAGAGTTTATTATTCAACTGCAGAGAGTTTGAGTTTCCCATCGATTCCCTAGGTTGGCTGTCTTGTTCTGAGCTTTACAAAATAAAAATGTTTGTGTATATTATCTTGAAATAAAAACACAGCAGTTATATTGACCGTTGAGACGAATTTGCCCGTTTCTTGTGAATTTGCAGAGCAGCTACCTTTGTTTGTAATTGGATGGCAGATAAACTGCCACTGGAAAAAGAAATGTGTGATTACACATGAATGCCTAAGCAGAAGTAGAAGTTTGAGGATAGCTTTACTCTCCTTGTCTGTTCAATCGTTGTATTGATAGTTAACGGGGGCCTCACTGAAACCCAGCTATTTCAGCTTTAGTTCTCGTGAAGGTCTTCTTTCGGAAAAATAACTTAATAGTGTGCAATGACGTCAATCTTTTTTCATTTATGCATGTACAGTATGTATGCATCAAGGTCACACATTTTGGTGTGGGTTTTTTCGAAGACCTAAAACCTTTACACAATACAAACATTTCCACTGGAATGTAGTACTTGGATTCAGGTCATGTTTATGTGAATACGGTGCTACACGGTGTACCATTCATTCAGATAGCGTTTAAAAACTGGCTGTATTTTCTATTTTGAATGCCCCTGTCGCTAATGGGTTTTTTCTTCTGAAGTCTTAAAGTCCCACTGAAGCGGATGAAGCGTCTTTATCTTCTGTACTCCTAGCATTCCCCAGTAAACTGGAATATTTGAGCGATGTGTAGTTACGAGAGGAATTTAATTAAGATCCTAAGCGTTTGATTGGACTGCTAAAAAGGTGGGAGGGCTTGGAATGTTGACGCTCTCAGCGCAAAAATGCTATTGAGGGGAAATGCTTTTTATCGGCTATGCAGCAGTGGTTTGTGTCTTCAAAGGTGATTTCATGATTACCGTGTCCGGGATGGGGGCGCAAACACGACTGTTGGAGATTTTTTAATTACTTGATCACACATTTGACATTGAGGGCAGTATAAATGGTTTAACTACTTTATCTGTTTAGTCTAATCTAAGTTATATCCTTCAATGAATCCAGAGTTGTGGCGAGCCGTATTCAATTCTTAAAAATGTTTCCGGCCATTCATTGAATAACTACAAACAGGTGTGAGAGCAGAAGCGCAATTTCAAATCTTTTATATTGTATTAATAATTTAAAAACTTTTTATTTATTTGTAAAATTGCTATGTTTGGTTCTTACAGTTTTCTTTGGCCACTCATTGAACAGCGACAGAGGAGAGTGGGAACAATTAATTTGTAAATCAAACTTTATACTTTACTTGCTGCAAAAATTGCTCATGCTGGTGTTTTTTTTAAGCTTTTATTAAATATGTTTCCATAAATTTGAAATGATGAATCAATCATTGATTATGATCGAGGAACTTGTGCAGTCTGTGAGGGACTGTGTTCTTATAAACACATTAGAAGCATGTTCATCTGCTCTTGATGAGGTATGAATTGAATGATGAGTATGAGTTCGCTGCAGCTTTGTCGATTACATTTTTCTGAAAATATTCAGCAGGACTACGCTGTGGTCATTTTGTAATTTAGACTCCAAGATGAAGATATGCAAATATGTGAAGAAAGAAAGTGCAGTATCCTCCAAAAATAAAATACAATCTCTCTCTCTCTGTCTAGGACCGAGCCCCCTATCCCAGTGAGCGCAGTACGGCCACCACCACTCTGACTGTGGATGTACTGGACGGCGACGACTTGGGTCCCATGTTTCTACCATGTACGCTTGTTGGAAACACCCGTGACTGCAGTCCCATCACGTATAGGGCTAATGTACTGGAGCTGATAGAACCGGTAAGTGTGTGGCTGTTATGTAACTATATTATATACTGCATTGTGTTTGTGTGTATGGTGCAGAGGAGCTGTTTGTATTTGTCTCTGTGTGATAGTGAGAGCTGATCCCCTCACAACTCCTCACAAAACTCCTATTTAAAATGGAAGGCATGTTTTGCTATGGGCTTTGCATTGCATGTAGTTTAACAATGAAGAAATGATGACCTCTGAACCTTTAAACATGGTATAACGTGTCTCTATGATGCCTGCAGGTATCTGTCTATAAGAGATTAATTCCGATTGCCAACTTTTATCTACAGGAGGCAAACATGGTGAAAGATGTGTGTGAGGTAATAAAGTCTGTCATGGTCCAGGAGTAGCCTATATGCCTTTCCCCGAACTAAGCGTTGTGATCCATAATTATTATTAATATTAGACCCGCCGCTCTTCCTCACTCGATGCCATTTCTGGTTTATCTTTTTTGATGTGGACAAAAAAAAGTCTAACAAAAACAACTCCTGAAGTCTCTGTAGTGTGTATTTATGCATATTTATTTGAAAATCAACATTATTTTCCTGCTCATTGATTCACTGGGGGGGGGGGGTCTAGCATGCTATTTGCTGTTTAACAAGCTAGACAATGCAACATGAAAAACAGTCGTCTAATCGTTTAAAGAAAATACATTACTGGGAAGGATTCATTTTAATCATATTATTTTAAAGGACAAATTCATAAATGACAAAACAAAGTGTCAGCGGTAATAAAAATTGAACTATGGATACATATTTATTCAGGCCGTGTGTGTTTGTACGTGTGTGTGTTTTACTGATGGTCAGAGCTAAATTCTGCTTCATGTAAAATCTGTTGGAATTTAATTTTAACCTCTGATCGACTTCAGGGAGGATGGAATACGCCAGTCTGTTTTGAGAACTTGTGTGTTATACATTGGAAAAACTTGACATACTTTTTAAATAAAAAAAAAAAAAAGTAGCATAGCTTCTGAGAGTGTACCAGGTATAATTTCCTCCTGAAAAAGATCCAGAGTGTTTGATAATGTAACTTAAATTTCCATTTACTTATTTCAAAGTGAGTCTGTATCACCATAGTATGCATTCATGCTTACACAGCTGTATATACAGTGGGTACGGAAAGTATTCAGACCCCTTTAAATTTTTCACTCCGTTTCATTGCAGCCATTTGCTAAAATCAAAAGTTCATTTTATTTCTCATTAATGTACACTCAGCACCCCATCTTGACAGAAAAAAACAGAAATGTAGAAATTTTGCAAATTTATTAAAAAAGAAAAACTGAAATATCACATGGTCGTAAGTATTCAGACCCTTTGCTCAGTATTGAGTAGAAGCACCCTTTTGAGCTAGTACAGCCATGAGTCTTCTTGGGAATGATGCAACAAGTTTTTCACACCTGGATTTGGGGATCCTCTGCCATTCTTCCTTGCAGATCCTCTCCAGTTCCGTCAGGTTGGATGGTGAACGTTGGTGGACAGCCATTTTCAGGTCTCTCCAGAGATGCTCAATTGGGTTTAGGTCAGGGCTCTGGCTGGGCCAGTCAAGAATGGTCACAGAGTTGTTCCGAAGCCACTCCTTTGTTATTTTAGCTGTGTGCTTAGGGTCATTGTCTTGTTGGAAGGTGAACCTTCGGCCCAGTCTGAGGTCCAGAGCACTCTGGAAGAGGTTTTCTTCCAGGATATCTCTGTACTTGGCCACATTCATCTTTCCTTCAATTGCAACCAGTCGTCCTGTCCCTGCAGCTGAAAAACACCCCCATAGCATGATGCTGCCACCACCATGCTTCACTGTTGGGATTGTATTGGGCAGGTGATGAGCAGTGCCTGGTTTTCTCCACACATACCGCTTAGAATTAACGCCAAAAAGTTCAATCTTGGTCTCATCAGACCAGAGAATCTTATTTCTCATAGTCTGGGAGTCCTTCATGTGTTCTTTGGCAAACTCCATGCGGGCTTTCATATGTCTTGCACTGAGGAGAGGCTTCCGTCGGGCCACTCTGCCATAAAGCCCCGACTGGTGGAGGGCTGCAGTGATAGTTGACTTTGTGGAACTTTCTCCCATCTCCCTACTGCATCTCTGGAGCTCAGCCACAGTGATCTTTGGGTTCTTCTTTACCTCTCTCACCAAGGCTCTTCTTCCACGATTGCTCAGTTTGGCTGGACGGCCAGGTCTAGGAAGAGTTCTGGTCGTCCCAAACTTCTTCCATTTAAGGATTATGGAGGCCACTGTGCTCTTAGGAACCTTGAGTGCTGCAGACATTCTTTTGTAACCTTGGCCAGATCTGTGCCTTGCCACAATTCTGTCTCTGAGCTCCTTGGGCAGTTCCTTCGACCTCATGATTCTCATTTGCTCTGACATGCACTGTGAGCTGTAAGGTCTTATATAGACAGGTGTGTGCCTTTCCTAATCAAGTCCAATCAGTTTAATTAAACACAGCTGGACTCCAATGAAGGAGTAGAACCATCTCAAGGAGGATCAGAAGAAATGGACAGCATGTGAGTTAAATATGAGTGTCACAGCAAAGGGTCTGAATACTTATGACCATGTGATATTTCAGTTTTTCTTTTTTAATAAATTTGCAAAAATTTCTACATTTCTGATTTTTTTCTGTCAAGATGGGGTGCTGAGTGTACATTAATGAGAAATAAAATTAACTTTTTTGATTTTAGCAAATGGCTGTAATGAAACAAAGAGTGAAAAATGTAAAGGGGTCTGAATACTTTCCGTACCCACTGTATACTGTTGTATGTCAGGCATGTGACTGATGTTGTTATCAAGAGTGACGTACAATACCACCTTGTAAATGAGACAAAGTTGCTGCGGGCAAAATTTGACAAGTCAGCAGAGCATTCATCCCTTACCACCCTTTCCCCCCCCC